TTAATAACAACATACACATCGAAATACTTTAAATAGTTGTGATAAAAGTATGAAAAAATAAGATAAAACATCTGACATCTATTATCCATTAAAACTAAATGTTTATAAAGGTTAAGAAGTAGGAAATCTGTTTCAGTTATCATTTAGAAGTAAATAATGAATATCGAATCTTAAATTAATTTTTATTTTTTGTACTAACTTTTTGTGTTTAAAAAATACTGTTAATTTTATGAAATATTCAATAAAATATCCGAATATAATTCTTGAGTATTGTATCTTATTAAATCTTTCAATGATTTGATTTTCTAAATGATTATCAAACAAATCAGTAAAATCATTCCTCTTGCATCAAGTACATTTTAAGTAATAATTAATATCTAAGGTAATCAAATAAAAAATACATTATAAATTATGATTACTTTAATTTTATATTAAGAATATCTCTTGAAAAATATAGTACTTTTTCTTAAGTATTATTGTTTAAAAGAGATGAACTGACACTTTTTTAGATTATCAGAAAAATACTTCAGCCTACCTCCAAATTTAGAATTAAAAGATTTCAATTTTATCAAGATAAATTCAAATCAATTTTCTATTATTCTCTTTCTTATTTACAAGAGATATGTTTAAAATTGAAAAGAAGAAGAAAAATGATGAGAATATTAATTCAATAACATAATTAGAATAAAAATTTAAATAATAGGTTGTTTGAAAGGCTTTAATTATTATAAATTAGAAATTTAATATAATATTTTTTCTTAATGTTTACAAAATTCTCAAGAGGACAAAAAATTGAATAAAATAAATATAATTAATTTTAAAAGAATCGTACTTTATAAATATTCTTTATATTACTAGTTAATAAAATTTTTTTATCTATCTGTCATGATATTTGTATCAATTCTCGCAAACCTTTCATTCTTAAAATCTCTTATTTTTCCTCCTAATTATATCTCACTTATTTATCGTTGATTAATCCACATAGTCTTTTAACTAGATATAAGTTTATGCAATTTTTTTTTTAAAATAAGGCAAGATGAAAAAAAATGATTCTGGGAATCTTTAGATTTTTATCTAATATATTCTTTGCAATAATGAATTTAAAATTGGCTTAATTTTTTCATTTTTAAATAGCAATCGTATTTAAAAATGTTAAGAATTTCTAGGTTTAATATAAATAAAGTGTAAGCAATTGAATTGAACAAGTTTGTATAAATAGTTAAATTATTATCTTATCTAAGTTTTTTACTTTTGTATAATTTATCAATAGAAGATCGAAATACTATCACCAGATATTTAATTCTGACCCCATATTAGTAATACTTCAATAAGAAAATTATAAATAAGACTATTAAAATAGTATATTCCCTGAATATTTCAATCTCAGTAATTGAGCAACTCTTTTTTAAAGAAGACTTCACCTGACCAATTCTATAATAATTATTGAAAAAAGGTAAAATTATGAGTTAAATTAAGTTGCATTCATAATATTTTATCCCAAATATTTTATAAAATCCATAAAAAATAATTATCTAAATGAAACAATTATTTCATCGCATCTATAGGCACCTTTCCAGCATTTTTAATAATGAAATTAACATTATTAGTTATTTCCATTTTCAATATTTTCACAATCTATTACTGATATGAATATATCTATGAATGGAATTAATAATATTGAATTTAAAGCATATCAAATTTTCTCTTCCTTCTTTTCTTTAAGTTCAATCCTTTATCATTGAATAAAATTTTCATAAACAAAAAAAATCCTTAACAGACATAAACCATGCTCAATCTAAGTTTTACTTTTAATTGCTAATTTTAGCATTTTTTAGCATAAATTTCTTTCAATCTATCGTAATCTTATCCAAAAAATTTTATAAATGATAAATTTTATCAACTCTTATATTCCTCAAAAAATAGAAAAGGTTTTTGAAGAAATATTTTGTATCCAAACCAAAAATGTGCTTAACAAATGGAATTTATGTTGTTGATCAAAACAAAATTCTAAACCTGACTGATTGAAACGATTGATTAACTCAGAAAATAAAATTTTGTATAAATATTAATTAAAAATTATAAAGAAGGCAAAATGATCAAATAAAAATTATAAAACATTGATTAATCAGAATCAAAAGTAAGAGTGCGAAGTTTCTTCTGAAAAGAGTTTAATTTTTAGATTTTACTCTTTAAAAAAATGCTTATTATTCAAACTAAGAAATAAATTTGATGATAATATTTTTAATTGTTCGTTTATAATATATAATAAGAATATAAAGTTGATTGAATTAAAGAAGAATTAATAGTTATAAAAAAAGATAATTTTTAATTTTCAATACAATATTATTCATTAAAGATACTTATTAATTTGTACAATAAGAAAATTTTAATATCCATTCTTCAATACTTAAATGAGCATTCATTTGTTGTTTTCTTTTATTCACATTATTAGAATACACAATATATTATTATTAATAATGAATTAGAGCAACAAAAGTCTTAACAGTACGATGACTCGTATTAAGCAATTATCAACAGGACCACCTATTGAAGTAGTGCCAAGCGAGATCATATTTAAAGATATATAGATTAATTAGACTTATGAAATTACTGTGTTCGTGAGAAACTTAACATAGACTGCTAGAAGAATTCGTGTTTTTCAACCTCATTCTAATTTCAGATGCGATTATGAAATGCAGGGGTATGAATATAGTATATTGAATTGTAGAGCAATAGCAGCTGGACTTTCAATGAAACTGATAGTAACATTTGAAACAGCCAGTTTAGAGTAGTATTAAGACACTTTGAAAATTGTGTCAGATGGTAACTATACAATTGATGTGCCTCTTTTTGCGTTTCCTCCTTAGGCTGCGTATATTTTAACATTATATTAATTTTAGCATAGTATTTGAGCCATTTATAAATTTGGGGTTTGTTCGTGTAGGTAAGGAGAAAGTAGACAATATTTATTTTAAGAATGAAGGTAAATCAACAGGGAAGGTAGAATTAAAAATTGATCGTTTACCTGATTTCAAAATAGAACCAACTTCATTTAGTTTAGGAGCAGGATAAGAATTTGCTGTTAAGGTATTTTATAAGCCTAAAGATGCTGGAATATTCCGTGGTTTAGTAGAAGTAATAGCAGATGGTTAAAGTCTATAGAAAACAATAGATATAAATGCAACATCAATAGAATTTACTCGTTTTTTAATAGATGACACTGGAGTTTAAAATAATTTTTTTGATTTTGGTTAAATATATTATGGATAATTCAAATAGATTGAAACATATTTAGTAAATAATACACCAAAGTAATAAAAATTTAAAGTGAAATTGAAGAAAGGATTACATTAATAAGAAGATGCATTGAAATTATAGACACCTGCTGAATTAGGTTTAGAATAAACAGAAAGAATAATGGAATGTTTTCCAGAAGAAGGGGTTTTAGAAAGCTATTCATAAATTGCAATAGTATTTAAATGTAAACCTAAAGTTTCAGAAGAATAATAAGTTTGGACGAGATCATTTGCTTTATCTCCTGAATAACTAAAACCAGATTATGATGAATTTCATTATTCTGCTATATTTGATTTTTAAGATAATGAACCATTAATGAATCATTTATAAGTTAGATGTATTTGTCCAACAATCAAATTTCCACCAACTGCAATTTTATAATTTGGAATATGTCCTGCTAATTAAAGTAAAGAGATTGTTTTCGAAGTTACTAATAAATAAACTGAATTACCAATATAAATTCATTGGCCAGTAGTTCCATATTTTTCTGTTAATCCAACTACGTCAACTTTATAACCTGAAGAAAAATAAAACTTTTGGGTAAGTTTCAAACCTAAACATACTGGAAATTTCACTACTCTTATTAGTGCTGAATTACTTGGAGGAATATTCAAAATTCCAGTAAGATTAGCAGGAGTTAGTTAATAATTTACAAATAAATAATAAGTTAAAAGAGGACCTGAATCATTACCAGAAGATTTTGAAATGAAACATACAATTACTAAAGAATAAAGCATTAGTAATATTAAATCAATTGAAAAAGTCTAAACTTTGGATATTTCTTAATCAGTTTAATCAC